AGACAGAGATCATTGATGCAGGCACCCACAGTTCCCTCACCAGTCAAACATCCTCAGAATAAAACAGTAACGGAAGTAAAATATTGAATTACTTACATCTTGTTCTCTTCTTGCTTGGAAGTATGGCTGTGAGTGTGATCTATTCCCAAAGTGTAGAGAGGAAAAAACCCAGCAATCATCACATCTCCATCCATGTGCGCTCGTTTCTTCATTGTAGAAAAGCAGCTAGTTCCAGCCAGGGACCTGACAGGGAGAGGAACATGGAGAAGGAGGAGTGTGAAAGCCAAAATGCACATCCCTGAATCCTCTGCCAAGCAGAAAAGCTGACAGGAAGTAAGGCCCAGAGTTTCAGTTATGTATATGTGCATATATGCCTTTTTTTATTGACCAAGATCTGCACTATGGTTCACCTCTAATCAAAGCCTCTAGTGAGTCCCTAGAAGTAATGTGTAAGAGTATTCCCAGGGGCTCTGCATTTGTAGCCTTGCCTCAGGATGAAAAACATGAGTTAGAAAACATGTTTGTAAATTTGCCTTCTTCACTGCAAGTGCTGTGATTTCATGCAAGACCACAGATAGTGAGGAGGCCCCAGAGATGGAATTATCTTGGTTGTAGTTTGTCCTAAGTCTGTGTCAAGAAACTATTTGCATGAAAGTCGTTTGGGATGAGGCAACTGGATTGCATGAGATGATGCCATGTCATGTGAATGGTGAAATGGCCAGAAAAGGCTATGCTTCTGAATTGTCAACTAAAATTATGAGGGCATTGTACTTAGAGGTTGGATTCACACATAACATATTCAGGCAAACATGCTCTCTTTTGCAAAGAAATGATATCTCATAGTTTCACTGTCATAAAGATGCCATCAGAAGGCTTTATACCAACTTAAACTGCTGAAGAAAGACACCACTGTACTTAACTGTCTGCCACAGCCTCTAAAGATGTCTTAAGAAAATTCAACATAAGGCATCAAAGATTTCTGTCAAACTTGAAAACCAGTCACATGTAGTAGAAAGAATTAGAGAAGATAATAGAACAGGAAGCACATCCCATTTCAATGATGAGTACGAATATTGTTGAAATGCCCGATTCAAAAAGAAACTCACAGATTGATTTCCCTTCAAATTTCCAATGTTGACCTTCACAAAATAAAAAATAATCTCTTGAAATTTGTGTGGAGGGGCTGGGAAGGTGGCTCAGTGGTAGAGCGCTTGCCTTGCATGCATGAGGCCCTGGGTTCAATTCCCCAACACCACATAAGCAAAAAGAAAAAAAGTGCGAAGTGGCGCTGTGGCTCAAGTGGTAGAGAGCTAGCCTTGAGCTGAAGAGCCGAGGGACAGCGCCCAGGCCCAGAGTTCAAGCCCCACGACTGGACCCAAAAACAAAAAAAAAAATTGTGTGGATTCTCACAATAAAAGAACAAAACCATGAGGAAAAAGCACAATGCTGAAAATATGGGAAACTTTATTTCAAAATGTACTGCACAACCACTGAAACAAAGTCACTGGTACTAAGAACATCTGGAAACCAGTAAACATAATAGATGATCCAGAACAATCCCACATAACTTCAGTCAAATGATGTTTGACAACATGGCCAATTACATATTGTGGACACAATATTGCTCCGTAACAAATTTTGTTTGTCCAACTGCATTTCCGCTTGTAGCAGACTGGAAATAGTTCCCTGTCATTCTATTAATGTCCTCAACTTAAGAGCTTCAAATATGAAACTATCAGTTAGATATATAAGGGAAACACTTAAGCAACAGACACTGGTAATGATTTTCTAAGTTGTACTGCAATAGCTTAAGAAAGGAGAGAAAAACTGAAGGAATACTTCCTAGTCAGTGGCTCAGGTTTAGATTCTGGCTTCCATATCCAGCACACTAAAGAACTGATCCAGGACAGGAGGCTCATGACTGTAGTGCAAGTGCTCATATGACTAAGATCAGGATCACAGTTCACAGACACAGTTCACATGCACAATTTTCATGAGACCCTCTTAATCAAAAGCTGGATATGATACTACCTGCTTTTTATTCAAGCTATTTTTGTGAGTGTTCTGAGAAGGATGGCTGAGATCAGGAGGATTTTGATTCCAAGACAGTCCAGGCTAAATACAATATCCTCAGATTCTGTGTAAATAGAAGAAACTGAATATTGACACATATGCCAGTCATTCCAGCTGTCGCAGCAAGCATCAATAGAAAGACTATAGCCCAGGCATGGGCATATAGAAAAAGTAAGATACTATTACAAAAATATTCAATGCAAAGAAGGGCTGGATATATGGCTCATACTACAGTACCTGCCTGTTATGGTCCTCAAGAAAGCGTTGACAAGTGGGTGTATGTCAGAAGGAAAGAATCCACACAGTCCACAAAGAAGCTAAGGGATGTCACTAAGGCTCTGAGTTCAAGCCTTAGTACTGGAAGAAAAATGATTTTAAAAAATGAATGGTAGGGCTGGGAAGATGGCTCAGTGGTAGAGCACTTGCCTTGCATGCCTGAGGCCCTGGGTTTTATTCCTTAGCACCACATAAGCAAAAAGAAAAAAGCCGGAGTGGCGCTGTGGCTCAAGTGGTAGAGTGCTAGCCTTGAGCTGAAGAGCTGAGGGACAGCGCCCAGGCCCAGATTTCAGGCCCCATGACTGGACCCATAAAAAAAAATGAATGGTAGGAATGAAATACAGTCCATTTCTTATGGTGGAAGGAGACGGTCAATGGGAATATAACAGTTTCCACATAACCAACATACATAATATACATTTATAAATATGTGATAATAAGTACTATAGGAATCATTTTAAGAAGGGATGGATTTAATAGATGTTATTTGTGTCTAAAAAGAGTATATTATATACATACATGGAAACACCAAAACAATTAAAAAACTTCAATTTTTTATTTTTATTTTGTAAATTTAGATTTCCTTTAAGTCATTGTCCAGTGGAGTTGCCTTTTACAACGCAATTTACAAATTTTATACATTTCACTCATTCCTCCCCTATCCACCTTTTCCATCTTTTCATTTTGAACTATATATATATATATATATATATATATATATATATAGGATGTGTGACTTCATTCTCCTGTTCTCCTCTTCATTTTTCCAATTCTTTCCCAATGATCCTATCCCTTAGGATTACTTGTTTCCTGGTGTTTTCTTTTGCAGAAAGTTGACTTTGCCTTTGTAGGAAATTACATTATTTGAATTCTCCAATGAATCTACTGTATTGAATACACTTGCATACCACCCAAGCTTTTACTTTATAAACTAATTCTAGCTTCCATGCCTAAAAGAAAACATTCATCCACTGTTTCTCTGGGCCTGACTTTCTTCACTTAGTATGCATTTTTTTCCAGTTTTTCCATCTCATTACAAATGGTACCTATTCAATCTTATGAATGAACAACAATGAAGAATTTTTCTTCTTATGTCTTCTACTTTTTGGAAAAACCAATATTTTACTTTGTAGATCTCTTTCACTTCCTTGCTTACAGTTATTCCATGATATTTAACATACTATGTATTAGAATTAGATGGGTTCCTTATCTTCTCAGTCTGGTGATTGTTGGTGTATTATTGACTACTTTGCTGAAAGGGTGTAACATATAGTTGTGATTATTTGTCACAGTTTTCAGTCCATTGCTTGGGAGTGATGTATTTAATCTAGTAGGTGGTTTTGAGATGTGTCACTCTAGAATTGAGTCTATTAAGCACCCATTTTCCAGCATAGGAACTCAATGCAATCTTCAATGAAACTACTAGGGGTCTGAGCTCAAAATACCCAGCCTCACATAATTCTTACCAAGCCTGTACCTTTTCCTTCACCCAAGTCAACCATCAATTCATAGTTTATTCTGCTCTTTCCCATTGTTTCCCCCCTTGGAAGCTGCTGAGACTTGGTTCCACCCACATCTAAAAGGAAAGCTTAGAGATGTAGCTGGCCCCAATTTCCTGCTGAGCTGAGGCCTTTCACCCTGGTTTCACTAACAAATTTTATGTAGGTGTGTTCCTTGTTTCTCTGCTAAGGTAAAGTCTTTCCATGGGTTTGTGCTGAAGGTTGTTCACACCTGAATTCCAGTGTATGCAACAACTGGATGGTCACTCTATTTACCCTACCTGAAATTCAGGACATTGATTGAATCCAAGTTACTTTGCTTTGTGCCTCATTTTCTTAGCCCTTCTGCTTAAAGTTGTGTGTGAGACTAGAGGATTCCCACAATGAAGATGGAAACATAACATCACTCCATCCCAATCCTGCTATATCTCTTCCACTCTGTGTCTTTGCAGGTTTTTGTTTTGTTTTGTGTTTGTTTTACTTTGTTGCCATTCCTGGACACTCAGTGCCTGAACACTGTTTTTGAAATTTTTGGTTAATACTAGTGATCTCCCAATTTGAGTCAAATGCTATTTGTAGCTTTTTTGTTAGTTAATTGTAGATAAATTATTCAATTTCTTTCCTGTCCAGGCTGGCTTTTAACTGAATTGCTCAGATCTCAGATAGGTAAAATAGCTAGTGAATAGCTAGTATTACAGACATAAATCACCAACACACACCTTGCTGTGTGAAATTTTGTGATGTTTTCACTTCATAGCTATGTAAACAAATGGACTTCAATGCTTAGTTAAGATTCCATTACAGCTGTGATTATAGGCAGGCAGCACTGTTGTGACTAACATACACATAGGACTTCCCTGGAACTCTCATTTCCTCAGTCTCCACCTCTTACCGAGCTGGGATGACAGACATCTGCCACCCCACCCAGGTAATTCATCCCAGAAACTTTTTTCCCCAGCCTTGTTTCAGAGAAGAATCTTCTTAATCTCAACTAGGGTTATCAGAGTTTCCCATTGGTTTTTTTTCTTAGTATTGATTTTTATATTCCTGCAAAAATGCACTGTAGTTTTCCATGGAATATCATTGAAAGAATGGTAGCTTTGGGGAATATAGACACTTTCACAATTTTAATTCTGCCAAAATCTTAACACAGGATGTGTTTTCATTTTCTTATCCAATGTCTCATACCATGGCTTCCTTTTCATTGTAGAGGTCTTTATAAATTTTTTCTTAGGTTGAGAGTCCTAGGTATTCGTTTTGGGAAGACACCGTTTGAGGGTATACATGAAATTTAGTCCTAATTGACAAAAGATATGTTATTTTTACAACTCTAGGTAGATTGATTTTTAATCCTCAAATGATTATGAAGAGAAACAAGTAAAGAATTCTTGACTAGACAAGAAATGAGTGAAATTGTGTGCATATCTCTTAAATATGTAAATCTGTAAACATAATATGGAGCCCACTAAATCAACTTATATGAAACAATAAGTAAAGCTTGCCAAACCAAGGCTTTGAAGTGGGGCAAATAAAAATTTTCCTATTTGAACAGATTGTAAGTAGAGATGATATAACAAAAAATCATATTTAAAATTTTAAATTCTTGGGATCAAATTAATGCAGACTGATTAATCTCAACCCAAAAATTAAAAAAAAATCCAGGCATGACAGACTTTAATCATAAGAGAAAGTTCAAAAAAATCTCATAAAATGTAACCTTAACTCAAAGTGTATTTTTGTAGCATATACAAGTCATGTGAGAGGGAAGAGGAAGACAAGGAGAAGATGGAGAGAGACAAAGAGAGAGACTGCAGCAGAGAGAAAGTTCCCACAAAAGAGACTCAGGATAATTTCAAAAGGTGACTATGTGAGTGGCAATATACAAGCATTGAGCAAAACATTCTCTAAACACAACATTAAAAGATGTAAATTTTTGAAGAGGAAAATATTAATGAAATGGGTGTGAGGGCTCTGCAACATGGTGGTATGCAGACAGGAAGCCAATATACTGAAAAATTTAGAAGAGTTACTGAGAAAGACGAGTGAAAAAACATTAAGAAGAAGTGATAATAGAATTAAGTGCAGATTGAAAAGGATGAACCAAAAATATAGCAGCAAAACTCCAGTTTAAATTGTAATAACCATCACTTGTGATTACCACTGCTAGGAAAATGCACACTAGATCCTTAGTCTTTGAAGTATACATTCCATAATATAAACTATGACAAGAGATAATTGCTGTAGATTTAGATCAGACCTTCTGTATACTAATCAAACCTATTTGCTTAATCTTGAGTGCTTAATTCTCATACTGTCTTATATCCTTGAAGCCATGCAGAGAATTTCTATTTGGCATTAAAAAGATGAGATAACACTTTGGGGCAAAAATGCATCCTTGGAGCCCTGCACCAGAGGCCAAGATGGAGAAAACCTCCACACCCACCATGACCTGCCCCTTGGCACTGTGATAGACAGGAAGGAAAGTGAATCATACACTGCAGAACACCAGCATGCTGAAGGTCAGGAACTTGGCTTCATTGAAGGTGTCAGGCAGATTCCTGGCCAGAAAAGCCACAGTGAAGCTGGCCAGGGCCAGAGAGCCCAGGTATCCTAGAACACAGTAGAAGGCAGTGAGGGAGCCCTTGTTGCACAGAATGATGACATGGCCATGTTCAGGGTGTGCACCCGTGTCCACAAAAAGAGGAGAGGTTCCCAGCCAGACTCCACGGAGAGTCACCTGAATGAGGGTGCACATGGGGATGATGAAGTTAATTGCCCCTGATATAAGCAGCCACCTTATTTTTCTCCCTGGGGAAGTGGCCTTGAAGGCCAGAACCACAGACACTTTTTTGGCCAGCACTGTGGAAACAGCCACAGTGAACACAACCTCAAATGTGATGTGCTGTAGGATTCAGGTGGCTGTGTTGGGAGGGCTAAGAAAGAGCAAGAAACAGAGGAAACAGAAGATGAGGTAGATGAACAAGATGTAACTGAAAGCCTTGTTGTTGGCCTTGACAATGACAGTGTCTTGGTATTTCACAAACATCCCAAGAACAGCACCAGTTAACATAGAGAAGCAAAGAGCCTTGCAGGCCAGAGCCATGCCCAATGTATCTTCATAAGTTTAGGAAATTTGCTGTTCTCAGGTTGCACTGAGTCCTCTTTGTGTTGGCATACTGATGATCTGAACATTTCACACATTGTTCCATGTCTGGTGAGACATGAATTCTACCATTACTGTTTTTTGTATTTTTATTTTTTGTTTTGCCAGTCCTGGGGCTTGAACACAGGGCTGAGTGCTGTCCCTGAGCTTCTTTTGCTCAAGGTTGGTGGTCTACTACTTGAGCCACAGTGCAACTTCCAGGTTTTTCTGTGTATGTGGTGCTGAGGACTCGAACCCGGGGCTTCATGCATGTGAGGGAAGCACTCTGCCACTGAGCCACCTCCCCAGCCCCCATTATTGGGTTTTTATGAACCTCGTTTTCTTCAAAGAATTTAGGAAATTTTTCACTTAGGTGAAATCCTCAGATGTCAGCATTTAGTATCTTAAAAGTGTTTTTGTATTTTTTCCTAAGCCATAACTGCCTCCCATGTTTACCTTCATTTTTATTCATACTTTTTTACTTGTCAAGGTGATGTACAGAGGGGTTACAATTACATAAGTAAGTTAATAAGTACATCTCTTTTCAAACATGTTACCCCTTCCCTCATTTTTCTCCTATTTTTCTCCTTCCAAGACTCCCCCCACAAGTTGTACAGATAATGTCCAACATATTGTATATTTTACTGTTGCATTGTTTCCCCTGCCTGACCTTCGTTTCAATTTGTTGTTTCCATTTTCTTCCCTAATTCAGATAATTATATATATATATATATACTTGTATGTATGTATACATATATGTATGTATATATATATATATATATATATATTTCTAGGGATCCAAAAGCACATATAGTGACAAAAAGGGGATATACCATAGAGAGAAGTATGTACAAAAGATACTGAAACATATAGTACATTAAAAACAACAACTGAAATGAAAAATCACTTGTGTCCATGTCTTGGAGTTCATTTTGCTTAGCATAATCTTATATGGTCATATATATATAGCTATTGAGCTTTTTTGTTCAGCTGCTAAGATTATCCTAGACATATACAAATTATTGCAAATTAGGCAAACCATGGAGCCTATGTTTCTTTGGGCCTGGATTACTTCACTTAATATAATTTTTTCCAAGTGTTTTCATTTCCTTACAAATGAGGTGGTGTTTATGCTTCCATCAGTCTTTTTTATTCAATATTATGTCACTCAGTGACTATCATATATATTGATAATTTAGCAGTTGGGCTACTATAGTATCTTTTTTTTTCATGATAAAACATTCTTTTTTTTTACAACCCCAACACTAAAAAAAACTATTTGTAGGAAAAAGGTTTTGTACATGGGATAAAACAATATAAATTCAAATTTACAGATAAGGGTTAGCTCTATCACTCATCTCTTTAAAAAGTTTATATGCATATCCAATCAAAACCAACAGGGTATCCCTCTTGAAATGTAATCTCTATGGATTCTAAGTAGACCACAGGCTGCACACTGTCTTGGAATTTCCTCAGAAGGCTATGTCATTAAACAGGTAACAGAGTAACAACCTCAGAGTCCTTTCTTTCAAATGGAAGAGGGAAACACAGGAACAGAAAGAACTACTCAAACTTTGTCTTCTTTCCTTGTGGTTTGAAGTCTCCACCTCCTCCTCCTCCTCCTCCTCCTCTGCCTCCTGGGAAGTCTCCCGGCCTCCAAAACCGCCCCCGCCGCCTCTGCCAAATCCACCGCGACCTCCTCTGCCTCCACCTCGACCCCCGAAGCCACTTTCACCCTTGGGCTTGGCCCAGTTCAAAGTAACTTTGTTTCCATCAATTTCACAATCTTCCATGGCGTCCATGACCTCCTTGGCGGCTTCTTCTCTGTAGAAGTCTACAAAACCAAACGGCTTGGAGGACCCCGTTTCCTGGTCATTTACTATTCTTGCAGTGAATGAACCCTCAAATGATTCCTTTAAGGTCTCTTCAGTGGTTTCCTCAGACAGACCTTTGACAAACAGAGTTTTGGATGCATGTCCTCTGGCATTAGGTAATCCCCTGGGTCCTTGCAACTCCAGCCTGATATCTCTGCCCTCAATTTCCCTTTTATTGCATGAGTTTAAAGCTTCTTTAGCATCTTCAAATGAAGCAAACTCTAGGAATGCTACCCTTTAGGTTTGCCATTGGGGTTCTGAGGCACTTTGATAAAAGTTGCCTTGTCAAATACTTCCTGAAGAGTTTCTTCTTTTGCACTGTAGGGGAGGTTGCTTAAAACCAGAGTTTTTGATTCACCTTTGAATTCTTGCCTCTGTCCTTTTTCTCCAGTATAATGCAAGGCAATGTTTCATCCATCGACTTCTGCCCCCTGCTTTTCTTCAAAGGCTTTCTCTGCATCAGCTTCTGTCTTAAATTCAATATAGGCAATCCCTTTACTTTTCCCACCATGGCTGACTACTCTGATTTCCATGGCATTTTCAAACACTTCTTTCAAATCATCCTGAGTAACTTTGAAGGAGAGATTTTTGGCCAAAAGTGTTCTTGCTGCACGAACTTTGTTACTGTCTCTCCCTTTGGGTTTCTCTAGTTTAATTTCATTGCCAAAGACTTTTAAACCAATGAGTTCGAATGCTTTCTCTAGGTCTTCAGCAGATTCAAAATCCACATAACCAAATTTCCTGTTTATACCAGTTCTGACATCCACAACAGTAAGATCATTTTTAGCAAAAAGTTCACTGATGGCAGCTTTTAGGTCTGGAACAGATTTGTTTGGATTCAGGTTTCCAATAAACAGATTAAAAGTTGGTTCTGAGCCTTTCACTTTCTGTTTCTTGGCTTCAGGAACTTCCTTCTGTTTGCTTTTTCTTCTTTCTTTTGCCAGGTGCTTCTATTTAACAGGCTCTTCTTCCTTTTCTTCCTCATCCTCATCTTCCTCTTCTTCCTCATCGTCGTCCTGCTCTTCATCGTCATCATCATCTTCATCCTCTTCTTCATCTTCCTCTTTAGCCACACTCTTGGCTTTTACAGGAGCAGCTTTTGCAGGTGCTTTCTTTCCTTTAGCTGGTACAGTATCCATAGCTTCTTCCTCAGAATCATCATCTTCCTCCTCATCTTCATCCTCCTCTTCTTCATCCTCCTCGTCCTCTGAGGCAGCAGCAGCTGCTGTTTTCATCACTACTGGCTCAACTTCATCCTCTTCTTCATCCTCCTCCTCTTTCTCATCACTCTTCGTCCTCTTCCTCATCCTCCTCCTCTTGCTCATCATCTTCCTCCTCCTCTTCACTGTTTTCTTTTTTGGCATTTTTACCATTCTTTGCTCCCTTGGCAGGAGTGACAGCACCCTTTTTACCAAGAGTTGCTACCACTACTTTCCCTTGTGTGGCTCCCTTCTTGCCAGATACTGCAACTGCTTTCGTTGGTGTAGCGGTCTTCTTGGCTGGGGTGGCTGCCGCCTTTTTGCCTGGAGTAACAGCTACTTTCTTGGCAGGTGTGGCCATTGCAGCCTTTTTTGTTTGGGCAACAACCTTCTTTGCTGAAGTTGTAGCCTTTTTACCTTTCTTCTGCGGAATGACAACCTCTTCTCCACTGCTTTCATCTTCTTCATCTTCTGACATTTCTTCATCTTCACTATCTTCTTCTACCTCCTTCAGGGGAGGAGCCATTTTCTTGGGGTCACCTTGATTTTTTCCTGGCCTTTGCAAGCTTCACCATGATGGCGGGTTACCACCACGGAGGGTGTGGGGACGAGTAGTGCAGATGAGGCCAGAGGGATCTGAGAGACGTTGATGGCCGCCACGGATAATGGAGATGTCGGAGCGGGAACGACTGACTGCCATCTACCACTCGCTACTATAGTATCTTATTAAAATTTCATTACACTATTTCTCACTCTCATTAACAGTTCTTCAATCATATTAAAATTGTAATTATATAGCTTATGTTTCCCTACATGTTTCTGTAAAACATTAATTTTACCTTATTACTCTTGATTTCAACCCATTATGTTTGTCTCATCTGCTCACATGTTAAGCTGTAGAACAGATTGACCACTCTTGGACACTGTATAGTCATGCTCACTTCTTATACTGAATCCAGCTTACTGAGCCCTTGTCTGGTGCCAAGTAGAGTTCTGGGCACTGAGAAATAAAGATATGTGAAATCCATGTTTTCTGTGTGCATAAAATATAACTTTTAAGATGAACACTCCCCTTAATAAGATATGTTTAATTTTCTATTAGAGTTGAGTCTTGTCATAATGATTAGTGATAAGAAAGATTCCTGGAGATGACTTTGCCTGCAATAGAGTGGAAAATATTACTAAATTTAAAATAGAAAGCTATGATCTATCATATTACAATTAGCAATACCACCTCGTGACAGAATTTAATGCACAACTTTTGAATTAACTTGATCAGATGAGGAAAACTAGGGAGAGGTAAAGGATTTCTTTTTGAGTCTGGACTCACCTGTCCCATTAGCAATCTCATTTTCTTGGCCAGATGTACAATCAAAGCAACAGACAGGATTTCCCTCTTGAGGAGATTTCCTGAATCCAGGACCACAACTCTCACTGCAGAAAGCGTGAGGAGTCTGAGGAAAGGCAGGGATGTGCCAGTGACTGTTCAGACTCATATTGAACACTGCAAAATTCCATTGTTTTAAAGAATGCAATTTTATGCAACTTTTTATTGTAAAATATACTGTACAGGGTTACAGTTACATGAGTAAGGTAATGAGTACATTTTTTATTGAGCATTGTTACCTCCTCCTTTGTTTTTCCCTTACCATCCCTTTCTTCCCCACCTCCCCAACAACTCCCCCCCAACCCTTGCTGAAGTTGTAAAGTTCATTTTCAACATAGTGTCTTGTACATCTCATCATTACAATGGGTCAACCTGTATCCCTATTTAAGCATAAAGAATGTGATTTTTAATAATAATGTTTTATGCAGGTAAGCGCAGTCAATTTATTGAAATCTGTTATAGATTCCATATTCCATGACTCCCAAGGGCTATGTGCTACCACCTTGGTTTTCAGCCTGTTGAATTACTGAAAGGTATGGGATCTTTAAAAGGCTGAAAGTAGTGGTGAGAAAGTAATTTCTGGTGTACAGCCCCATGGTGTTACCATGGATTCATGTCATTATAGGTTGTCTCCTACTCATCTGTGACTTGGGGAAGAGCAAGAAAGAAACCTCCATTATATAGCATTGTGTGAATACCTGAGACATCTTATCTTTCTTTTCCAATGACCATGACATGAGTCTCTTGTCACAGATGCTTTCCATGATTCCTCTAAGCAAAGATGGTTGAATAGAAGCTCAATTAACCATTAAATGAAACTCCACGGAGGGGAGTAAAAGAAATATTTAAACCACATTAATTAATTTTCAGGTACTTTATCACAGTATTAGATTCCTACTGAAATAATGTAATTTACATCTTATGACAATATTCAAAATCAACACGTAGAGACACATTTAACGCTTTTGGTTCTGATCTTGGGGTTGAACTCAAGGCCTGGGCACTTGAGCTATTTTTGCTCAAGGATAACATTCCAATATCTGAGTCATAGCTCTACTTCCAGATTTTGGGTGGTTAATTGGAGATAATTGTCTCACAGAGTTTCCTATGGGAGCTGACTCTAAACTGATATTCCCATATCAGCTCTATTAGTTGCTAGGATTATAGGAGAAATTTGCTGGCACTCAACCAGGTGTAAAGGGTGACTCTTGCTGATTTGTGTGTCCTTAAAATTATTAGGATTAGATCAAACCCACCTCTGTAGTTCCAATGGCCCACTCTACCATATCTTCAGATAAAGACAATTGATTACCATGTGGAGCATATGGAGAAAACTTCTCTATTCTTACTGCAAGTTCCAGACCTTCTGGAAAATCCCAAATATTTAGAATGTCATACTTTGGCTCCAATTTCCTTTTCTTGTCCCAAATCACTTGATCTCCAATTGGATTGTAAAGATGGATGTTTTTCATAAAAGTGTGCAGCTAAAAGAGAGAACTTATGGTAAAGTAAATTCCAGAGTTAAGACAAAAATCTGAAGAAAGAAACAGTCCTGCTTGCCTTTAATCTCTGATTATGAATTCAAAGAATAGAAATGTCTAATCAAGTATCTCAGAAGAAAATCTACGGAGTAATAAAATAATCATTCTGAAAAATAATCCTTCCTGATCACTCAGAAAAGGAGAAGTAGGACTTTTTTCAGAGAAATCATTCTATTCCTTCTTGACACAATCACTATTTTATGAATGTCTATTGCTGGAGGTTGCTAAATGTTTAATTCCAAAAGTTGAATGAAACTAGGTCACTTCTGAACATATGGGTAATTCTGTACAGTAGGTCATCCTTTGCTTTGACTGAAGAAACTCATAGGGAAAAGCTCAATTTAGGGTTTTCAAAACACTAACTATGAACATGTTGAGGCTATTAGTAATTAAAGGAATTCATGAACAAGTTGCTGGTGGCTTATGGATGTAATCCTAGCTACTCAGGTGGCTCAGATCAGAGAATCATACTTGAAAGCCAGCCTGGTAAGAAAAATAAGTGAGAAACATGTTTCAAATGAACAATTCAGAAAAAGCAAGAAGAATTGCTGTGCTCACATGGTTGAGCATTAACCTCGAGTACAAAGAGACTTGGGGATATAGCCCAGGCACTGTGTTCAAGTCCCTCCACTGGCCAAAATTAACTTATAGAAATATGGAATATATTTTATCCTTGTAACTGTCCTGTTGTTTTCTTAACAGCATATTCACATGTCTAGAGTACCTCAAAGACACTGAAACATAAAGAATCATATAGGGTTTTGAAAAGCACCTGAAATATTTAATATTTTAAATCTGAATATAAATTTGTTCAATTTCGTGTGTATAGTAGTTTCTGAAAAAGAAAGGAAAAACTTAAGAGTGGAGAAAATTGCTTCAAATACTGAAATATTCATTAATTTTAGCAACCAAGTTATGTATGACATATAAATCCAAACATATATATTTGTATATATAAACACAAACATATATATTCATATACAGAAACAAACATGCATACAAGCAGAAATACTTGATTTCATACAATAAGAAACCCCTTTTAAAAGTGCCTTTGCTCATAGTGTGTGTACTCCAACCTAGAAGAACTTACCTGTTCAGGGGAAGGCACTGTTTCTTTTCTATTTCCCAACGTTTGAATTTCTGTTTGATGAAGAAGTATCTCATAGAGAGCCTGGGCTACAGCATACACAATATTGTATATATTGTAACTGTCTGCAGATATTGTCATGTCAAAAATGAGCCGAGGCAACCAATCTAAAGAGGCATCCTGAGCAAAATTGTCCCATGTCACATAGTCAGACACAGAATCTGAGCAATTAAATGACAGAAACCACAGCCTGGCAAGAAAAATGTCTTCTGGGTGTTTGGAAGGCTTAACTGCCTTGACAAAATCTGTGAATCCAGAAACTTCAACTGACGGGGTGTAAAAATCAGAGGTTACATACAATGAGCCTAACACGAAATATTTCCTCCTCCTGGTAAAATCCCACTGAGAGTTCATGATCCAAACTTTGCCATGTATAAAAATTTGCTCAATAAATATCATTAATGCTATCAGGGAATCATTATCACCATATATGATAAGGACACTTGCTGAAGATAGATTTATCTCATTATGATTATGAACTGCAATGAGTTTGAATATATGTGACATGTCTTGGCTTAAGATCACTAGCTCATAGGCTGCACAAACTCTGTTCTTGGTCACTCTTCTTTCCATTCAGCAAGATCCCATGGACCATTCTCAACTTGTGAGGTCAGCAGTCCCAAGCAGCTCCAGCTGAAGTGAAGCAGTAAGAACACCATGGCAGTGACTATCGATGTGTCCTTTGGGGACATCTGATAGAGAGCAGGAAACCTGTTATGGTCACTCAGGCCATGATCAAAAGGCTCAAAGGTAAACTAAAGGGAAAGAAAATTGGGAACTCTATGAATGAGAAGATTGCCATGCATCACAGTTTGTGTTGGATTCTGTGAAGAACCAATTGAAGTTTTTTGAAGGAAGGTTTTTTTTTAGTTTTTGAAAAAAATAATTTAATAGTTTTTTCGAAGTTGCACAACATATCAATTGTCTTGCAATTGTCTCTTGATACTTTTCACTATTTCCATCAATCTTCTCATCTACATCAACCTGACCCACTACTAATTCCATTTTTCAAATGCTCATTTGATATTATGTTTCTTTTCACCACCCATCCATTCCATATTCCTTTGCATTTTTCCCTGTTAAGCACCACTCAGACAAGATATGCTTCACCTTTTTGGTGTTCATTTTTTGTGCTCTCAGTAGATCAGAAATGATAGACAATATACATAAATATATAACTATATTTATAAAACTATAAATACAGTGTACATAAATTTTCTGTTAAATCACAAAAAGTACAATATATAATTCAAAAATTAACAAAAGGAAGGAGTGGGTTTGGAGATGTGGGTGAAAATGGTAAATATGGTAACATGGTTCAAGAGACATTGTATTCATAAACTGCTCTGTTCAATGGCAACAGTTCATAATACTACCAAAAGAAAATAAAATTTTAAAAATGTATAAAACTTACTGATGACACTGACTATACAAGGAGCTGAGAAGGTTCTAACATTGTAAATTGTGTAGACAAATGTTAGACATGATTTTTAGGAAGAGGGAAAATTATTAACATATCTAGTAATTTCCATAGAAAAATGGAAAATTAAATATTCAATTTTCAAATTATGGGAGGAATACAATGTAGTTGCCATTTACATTTGTATGACTTTAATATCTGAAAATATTTTTATTTTGATTTTTTGACAAGGCGATGTACAGAGGAAGTACAGTGATATTAGCCAGGTAGTAATTACATTGTCAAATTTGTAACCCCATCTTATCTTAAAATGTTAAACAAAAAGTTTCATTAAAAGTTAAAGGAAAAGATTTCATTATAACATGGCTCTACATTCAGTTATGGATTTGATCAGAGCCCTATATTTATTGTGTGTTTATGTTTTTTCTTTTATTCTCATCATCACAGATTGTTGTCATTATTCCAAAGCAGCTTCTTGTAATCTATTTTAAGCCCCATAAGTACCTCAAAATCTATAGCAGACAAATGAAAATTCATAATCCAAAAGTCAATACTCACTGTTATGGAACTCACTCAATAAACACTGAAATCTCTAAAGGAGAAGAATGGAGGAAGCAGTTTCAATAAACCAGGAGAATAAGGTATACAATGGCAATGTTGAGACATGATCTGTCAACAATGACTGGGAATGCAAACTCTACAAATACAAATTGGAATGCCTGAATGAATAAAACCCTCAGTACAAAGGATAGTTTGATTCCAAGAAAGTCAGTTGACCATCAATGGCCTTCAGTGAGAGTAAGAAAGGAATGTAAGCCAGATCCACAGAAACGTAGGTTGTATGATTTCTCTGAGTATAGAATGCACCTAAAAATCTACAAATAAACCAAATGGTGAAAAAACAAAACATCAGGGGCTGGGAAGTTGACTCAGGGATAGAGTGCTTGTCTTGCATGCATGAGGTTGGGTTGGATTCCTCAGCACATTAGCAGAAAAAGCCAGAAGTGGTCCTGTGGCTCAAGAGGTAAAGCACTAGCCTTGAGGTGAAGGGCTGAGGGACAGCACCCAGACCCAGATTTCAAGCCCCACAATCAACCAAATAAAAACACCAAAAAAAAACACTTTCACATGATAAAATATACAAGTCTGTAGGCATTCCTCACAGTGAGATCAAAGGAGAACATACTCAGGAGAGGAACAAAAAGGGGTAATACCTATGTCCATCTGAGCATATAAAATAATATTTGTTAAAAAGAACTTAGGAGAATGGGAACAAGACAGTTATTTTCTTTATTGCTGCTTTGGTGAGCATGGAGTCACAGAAAAGGTGGATAAAGGATGTTCAAATGCAGCAGTGGTACTCAGTAGACACTATGTTTGAAATAAACTATAGACCTTGTGGGTGAGGATGGGAGGGAAATACAATGAGTGAAGTGGTGACACTGTTTGAAAAGAAAGATTCTCTTCATCTTACTTATATGTAACTGTAAACTGTACATCATCTTTATAATAACAATAAATAGTACATCAACGGGGAAAATAGGAATGGAATAAAGCAGTCCACACAAATGAAAGGGAAAAGAAAGCAAAATTATCCATAACTTATCACATTAAATAGACCTCAATCAAAGCAATTAAATGTGCCATGTTTGTAATGCAATGATGAAGCAATCAGATCAACAAGATGACATAACAATTGTAAATGAACATAAACATATTATCAAAGCACTTGACTCTATGTAAGCAGACTTTGAGATAATCCTCAACACATTTCCATAACATGGAAATGAAATAAATTCTCTTTCAATCAGAAATAAAGCCTTTAATTTAATTAACAATATTCAATGTAATTAGAATACATGATTATATAACTTATTTTTAAGTCAAAGAACAAGAAGTTTACTAATCTTTGGAACACATAAAAATGAAAACAGAAATCAGAATTTACACATATAGAAAAAGAACAATAAAAGGATACTGTAAAAACCTTTGCTGAAATCAGGAGTAGTGGTTCTGTACTCAGGAACCTATGCTTATCTCAAGGAACTAGAAAAACAAACAAAATTAGTAGAAGGAATAAAATAATCAAGTAGAAAAAAAGAATTAGAGACTAAAGTACAAAGCCAATAATCAATAAAGCAAAAAGAAGCTTCTACAAGAACAGGATTGTAAAACTGTAGCAAAAATTCATGAACCACAAAAGGGGAAAGCAACAAAATTTCACATATGAACCCACACTTCCCATTATTCAGAATGCTAGGAGTAAAGAGCTATATTACTGAAGATTCAGTACAGTCTGTTCAAAATTCTTATCATTTCCTTCACAGAAACAGAACAAGGAAAACTGAATTTTATGAATGAGGAAATCCTCCATTAGTCAGAGCTATTTTAACACAAGAGCAACACAAAAGCATCCCCCTGCCTGTTTTGTATTTATACTGCACAGCCATAATAGCAGAAAACATTATGATTAAAAGACACATTGATCAAAGAAATAAAAGACTGAAAAGTAATTGCAAATAATAGATATCTGATTGTTGGAGAAGGTATCATATAATACAAGGCCTAATCATGACACTCTTAGCAAGGGTTGCTATTGAGAAACTGGGCATTCATGTGCGAAACATTAAATCTAGACCATACATTTTTTCCCTCAACATTGTTTGGTTCTTAATAGAGACATGAACTTTGCAAATAATAGTGTAAATGAGGGGAAATATAAATACAAGTCAATAGCTCATAAAGCAATAGGAATAATTATTCTCTTGGTTAGAGTAAATGGCAGAATCAATTGTCTCATTGACAAGGTACTAACTTTCACTCCAAATACTGGAAATGGAAAGTTACTGTGCTTGGATCCAAATGAAACGTTTTAGCACAATGAACACAATGGTGGGACAGGCTAATGAACAGTTAAAAGTCTTGCAAGCACAAGTATTATAAGTCTAGGACAAGCAGAAAAGGTCAAAATCTATCTACATACAACCATATAAGATGATGTTAAGTGAAATGAATCCCAAGATCAGGAAGCACGTGGTTTTTATTTTGGTGCTATTGTTTTTAACATACTTATTTTTTACTATGTGGTTTTTGTTTCTTCGGTATGTTCCTCCCCCCATGGTATAACACCCGTTTTCACTATATTTGATTCTGGTGCTCTGCATCTTCTATATATTCTTTTCTAATTCTTCAGTGAGGGGAGGGAAAAATGGTTAAATAGGGATACAGGTTGACCCATTGTAACAATGACATGTACAAGATACTATGTTGAAAATGAACTTTACAACTTGTTGGAGGGGGGGAAGGGAGGGCAGAGTTGGAGAGGTTTGGAGGGAAAAGGTGGTAGGGGAAAACAAAGGAAGAGATAACAATGCTTAATAGGAAATGTACTCATTATCATATTCATATATCTGTAACCCCTCTGTACACTATTTCTACAATAAAGAACATATTTTTAAAAAGTCTTGCTAGAGCTAAATGCTTTACAGAGGATGAACAGCATAATGGAAAACAGTTCTAAAAATTAAATACCAGAAGAGAAAAAAAAACAAATCCTGAAAAAAGAAGTTAGAAATTAGAAATAGAAAATCACAACAAACACATGATATTCAATCATGTGGACAATAAAGACACCCATTGGTTATTCATTAACCCAGAGAAAAAAATGCAGTTTTGGTAATGGCATATAAAATTTAAAGTTTGGCAATTTTTCAAGAAATTAAAACTATCTCTATTGGTGGTTTATAGCTGCAATCCTAGGTAAGCAAGCAAACAACAGATGAGGATCCTAAGTCAAAGCGAACTGTCACAGAAAAGTCCATGGCGTATTTTATCTCCAGTCAATCAACAAGCAGCTAGAAGTGGAGGTATCCCTCAAGTTGTAGAGTATCAGCTTTGAGATAAAAATGCACGCAAGTAAGCCAATCACCAGTGG